GTCGTCATTTCATAATATCATAAAAGCCAATTTTTATCTTTGAACAAATTTGAGAAAATCCTAGTATTGCACCCCTAAAAAAACGGAAAAACAAAGTTGAGAGAAAAATATCTATTATATGCTTAATCTCTAAGATTTTTGAACCAAAAAGAAGAAAATTAATGATTTTGTTCTATTTTAATAAGATTTTAGTAATTGAAATATTTAAGCCTATCACAATACCATGAAATGGTTAGATTTAATCATTTACAAAATATTAGTCATGATAAAAAAAAAATTAGAAGTATCCTAAAACATTCCCCCCCCCCCCCCAAAAATCTATATTGTCTCAAATTTTGGATTTAGAAACGGTTCCTACAAATTTAGAAATGATTTTAAATTATATACTAAAGTTTTCAGAGATTATCATTAATCTTAGATTTGTGATTCTCTTAAAATAGTTAGATTTTGGCGGTGATTTTTAAAAACAGCACATGTAGTATGATATTTTTAATTTTCAAAAAAGAAATATACATGATATTTAAAAAAAAAAAATTTTGTTTACTTTCCTACAATATGTTGGGTTGTCTTTTGGAATAGTTAGATTTTGGTGGTAATTTTACAAAATGAACAATCAAGTGTTACACATGTAATATATTACACATGAAATTATTATGTTGTAAAATTAGTATAGGTAATTTTAATTAACAAAATCATCTGTTACATATGTTGCATGAACTATTATACAAATTTTCATATTCGTTTGTATATATATAAGTTTACAGGTATCATATGAATAAATGTGTCATTTGAGAACGAACTAAATACCTAAACCAAATCGAACCGAATTAAATTCACATATTAGAATCCGAATTGAATTATATAATAATCTAAATGGGTATATAAATTTATGTATTAATTAAATTATCCAAAGCGAATTCGAATTATATCAAACTAAATAGAAGTAACCAAACTTACAGTAAATTCATACAAAAATTATTATTTTGTTTATGCATTTAATATTTTGTGAATTGGTTAGGTGATTTTCCAATAACCTAATCATATCATTATTTTTAAAATAATAAGTTTTCTATTTATATCAAAAATAATTTTTCTATTTTAAAATAATAATATTCAATTTTTGTTCAATTTAATGGTAAGATTTAATATTAAAATCTTTGAATAATTGTTTTAGGCAACTTTATGAATATTCTCATGTGTTTGGCAATTCAGATTAGAGTAATCAAAAGAAATTATTTAGAAAGAAATGTGTTTGAT